TAATTATTAACAGACTGCTCTAAGTAAAACCAGGGAAAGTTGAGTGGAAGGAAAAAGTGTTTGAAAAAAAGAGTAGCAGCAATGGTAGAAGGTACCAGAAGCCTACCTTAAAACATCAGTTTTTTTATATCTATCTATCTATCTATCTATCTATCTATCTATCTATCTATCTATCTATCTATCTATCTCTAGATATTTATCTATCTATCTATCTCTAGATATTTATCTATCTATCTATCTCTAGATATTTATCTATCTATCTATCTCTAGATATTTATCTATCTTTCTATCTATCTCTAGATATTTATCTATCTTTCTATCTATCTCTAGATATTTATCTACATTTCTATCTCTCTATCTTTTTTTAGCAAGTGTGGATAAATCAGTTATTTAATGGGATCTTTAGAGGCCTTTTAAGCACCAGATGTGTGTCCAGCTGGGGAAGTCCTTTGAAATGAAATGGCTAAACTACCAGTTGTTGCTCTTTTGTTTACCAGGTGGATGTTTGGTGCTCTCAGACTCAGCAGAGGATAGTAGGATATTATCAAGCCAACGCCTGCGCATCAGACAGCAGGTGAGTTCATAAAAACTCCATGATTGAAGCTGTTCTTCTGTACTGTCCGGTACTCAGGTTTGTATTTTCCTGTGTTTGTTTGCAGCCCGACGCCCTGCGCTCTGAAGATAGCCGATAAGATCGCTGAGCAGTTTGAGAACGCAGTGTTGTTAATGGTAGGAATTACAGAAATTAAACTGCTTTAATTATGCCTTTGGGATGGATGAGGATTTTCAACGACTGAACGCTGTGAATTTGTCTCCCTCTCCTTGCAGCTGGACGGCAGTAAGATGTCTCCAGATTATCGGGTTCCACCGATCGTCATGTACGAGCGCAAGGACTCAAAATGGGTCCTGAAAGACAAACACACGTAAGAACCGAGTGGAGCTTAGGCGGCATCTGAAATAAAATCAAAACACTCAGTGTGTAGCCTGCTACTGGAGTCAAAGTCAATACAAATCTACAAGCGAGAAAACAATAGCTTAGAGAGGAGGTCTTCAACAGGGGGTCCGCGGAGGTACCGCATGCAACAGTTTGCAACAGTTTTGATTAGACTTTTTTTTTATTTATTCCCCCCTGCAATTTTTTCCACTAATTGAAATGTCTTTAAATACACATTAACATGAATTCAACACACTGTAGTAAAGAGATAAATGGAGGCAGAAGATGTCTTTCAGTCATCAATGCTCACATTCAGCGACACACAGGAGCTCTTTCAATCTGGGCACCGTTTCATTCACAACACCTGTCCCATCAACCAGGAATCAGAATCAGAAATACTTTAATAATCCCAGGGAGGAATTACTTTCATTACATTACTCCATCTGTAATAGAGTGACTATAGGACCAGTTTGATATAACACAATTTCATACATTATATATAATTAGGAGGTCCCCGCTCCATCAGGCCATCAGTTTGGGGGTCCTTGGCCTGGAAAAACGTTGAAGACCCCTGATCTAGGGAGAAAAGTATAAAAAGTATTCCAGTTGGGAAGTAAACCAGATTCTGACTGGCGATCCATTTGACTAAACACGTCTCTTAATTTAAAATTTGCTTATGAGAAAAGTTGAAATAAGAATTTTCTGAGAGATTTAGGAAATAGATTTGTATGTGATGTAAACAAATGGCATGAGCAGAAATCATTTGGTTTGCAAAGAGTGAGGATCTGTAGAATGGCCAGCAGAGGGCATAGGTGAGAGCATCATCAGGCAGTTAAATCAGTCTGAAGGTCAACAGACCTTTGAGCTATTAAATCTGACTATAGCTAAAGCATGCAACATTTTCCAGATTTTAAAAATGGGGAAACTTTTTTATTTTAACTTCCTCCCACCTTAAAATCATGCATTTTAAACCAACTACTTTAAGCATCAAAACGTGAGGAAGAGAAATTGACAAGATTTTAACTGAGCTACTTAGTTTGTTTTAATCAAGCACTTTTTTGTCCACTGAAGTTTTTCTTTTACAACGGTTGCTGCCCTTCATGCCGCCTGATGTCACTTCCTCTGCAGAATCATGCTGCGGCAGTGGGAGGAGACACGGGCCATAGCCAGCCAGATGCTGGAATCCGGGGACCACGCAATGTTGGTTGACTTTGACGGCCATTTGGACGACATCACTAAGGACTGGACCAATCAGACGCTCAACGCCAAGATAGCAGAGCTCTCCTCACCAGCCAACGGCACCATCTGATGCCCCGTCCCCGCCCGACACAAACACCCCCAGGAAAGCAGAGCCCAGGAAAAATAATTTTATTTTTGTTCCTGGCAGAACAAAGACAAACATGCACAAATGAAATATTTACATCTCGGTTGATCTCTATTTCCTCCACGTGCCAACCACAGAAACGGACGTGTTTAACTCCAAATTCAATATAAAAAATTCTAATTTTAACACTAAAAATCCTCCTGTTTTTATTTCTAGTTCCACCTCATTCTTCCTGTACGGCAGCATGTCCATTTGCCAGGAAACAATGGTAGCTTTTCTACTAAAAAAATAACTTTTAAAGTTTAACTTAAGCCCTAAATGTTTAATTTAAAAAAAAGTTACTGAGCAGGATGTGCTTAATTATTCACACCCTCTTATTTCCGTCTCTAAATGTATTTGTTACGACTGTTTAACCCTAATAAACACCTTTTTTTTTTTTTATTCCATCTGTATCAAATAGATAGATAAATAAATGAGCTTCATGTTTGTTTCAGTCCTGGATTATGTAGCTTTTAGCATGAACTTCTCTAGTACTTCATATTAAGTGCTCAAATAAAAATCTGCTTCCTTCAATATATGAACTCTAGCAAACCTTTGAAAGGAGTTAAATCTAATTAGGTTCATTTTGAAGCTTTAGTGCCATATGCCCGTATTTACATTTTACACCAACATCAGACATGGTTTCTGCTCAGACTGCCTTCAATGTTTGTTTCCCACATTCAGATTAGCTCATTTCTGAGTTTTATTTTTTTGTAATTTTCTGAAAGAAAAGTAAAACAAAGTCAATGAATTGCCTGAGACACACTGTTAAAAAAGCTTGTCTAGTTTTTTTTCTCAAAAATTGGGAAGAAAAGCTGGAACTGCAATTTATTCACCAAACTCATTCAGAGAGAGACGCTTTTGAAAGAATTACTTCTAAAAACTGTTTGTCATCCCCAAAATTCAGCATTGTAACATGAGATCCAGCTCAACGAGATTTGGCACCAGCCCAGGGGTCCGTGTGCGAAGCAGGTTTAACAAACTCAGATTCAAATCTGCAACTCTTAAATCCATCTAGCCTAAAGCCGGGAAATCTGAGTTTTCGGTTTAACCACAGCCGCTATGAATGAGTTCAATCAATTCCAAGTAGAACCACTCAGAGATTAGAACATGTGTAAGAAGTATGAAAAGCCATCATCAGTGGAGCACTGATTCGACCAGTCACCATTTATCTACAAATGTCTGTTTTGACATTTAGAAGCTTGACATGATTCATCAATGATCACCAAACAGACAAAACATTTTTTCATAGTAAAAATAATGCAAATCCTGACCAGTAATCTTAGGAATTGGCGATCTGAAATTAATTTCTAGACATCCAGAATGTCTTCTAGATATGGAGAATGCCATTTTTTTTAAAATGGAAATGGACATATTCGGTAAACTTCATATGAAAACAGCTTGCCATAGACTGTTGTGAACGCGATAATATTAAGCACTATTTCTTGAATGGTAGTAGAACAATGTATCTATTTAGGTGAAATCTTCTGGCAGCAGGTGATGAAGTCTAAAGACGTTGTAATATGCATCCTTCATGTCTTCTTTTACAGAACATATCAGTGGCTGTTTGCAGCCGCACTTCGGATGTTATCTCAATAAATGGTTATTAGCGGCTATCAGACCCATAGAATGACTTCAGATTGGGCCAGTAGGCTCATTATGTTATCGAGTGGATCCTAATCCAAACCCTAAAGTTATTCCTTCCCCCCCCCTCAGAATTATTCAATCTATTTACGTGTTATCTGAAAATAATTGCAGTAGTTCTTCATGTACTGTAGATATAACTAAATAAAAATAAAATGATCCGCATCTCGCTCATATTAAACAAACCAAGAACAAGTAATCTCATGTCCTGTCAACTGATCTGTAGAATCCCTATAAAAATGTTATTCTCTTTGAAAAAAAAAATTCTGATCATTCTTTAATTAAATGGACATGAAATTTTTGTTTTTAAAACCTAATGTGTCTAATGGACCTAGTGAATCTTTTTATGCACAAAACTGTTACTATGGTGACTGAAACAGAGGTTCAATAAACAGTGGAACGGAAAACTCTGATTTCAGGTTTAACTAAGAGTTTTAGGTAAACCTGCTTCATGAAACGGACCCCAGGATTAAATAAATGCTAAAACATGAATAAAAATGCAAACTTTTAATAAAATAGTACATTTAAATAACAAACTTAAGCCAGAACTTCACTTTCTAATGGGCTGTTGCATTGTACTCTGCCTGAATAGAACTACTCACCAAAATGTGCCTCACATTCAGCATATTTCAAACTGTTCAGATTATTTTACTCTGCAGTAGCTGTCAGCTTCTCTTAGGTCTGAAAAAAAGTCCATTAATTAATCCTCTGAATGTGGGAAAAATAAATCAAATTTGAAATAGAAAATCTATGCAGGAACTGAGCTCTGCTATGATAAAGTTCACAGTAAAAAGATCTAACAGAAGATATAACAGAAAAACAAGTGTTTGTGTTTCACACTAAGCTTTAAAAGTGCTCCTTTCACACTAGAACTGAACAGAGAAGTAACCTGTACGTCTACCTCTAATCTGCTCTAATGGCGGCAGCTATGAATCTACGCTATGATTGGATATAGTACAGTACGATAAACATGCTTGTTTTTAAACGGCAGTTTAACTTTTTATCATCCTTTAAAAAGTCTTTGGAGCACCTTAACAAAAAGGCAAAGATAAACTATTGTTTTCCTTATAAAGATCACCTCCAACTTTTTTTTTCTTTTCTTTTTTGTAGTGTTTCCAAAGCTTTGATCCCAGTTGGAGAATTTTTACCCCAAAGCTCTTAGCTGCAAAGTTAAACAGATTTTTCTTTAAAAGCTTTAGGTCTGTCTTTTCAGCCTTAAACAGAGGCTTTTATTTTGACATCAGCTTTTAAGCTCCAGATGTTTCAGCGTGGTTTCAGCTGGGAATGCTTGGTTTGGAGAGACGGCTCTCTGGAGCCCTCAGGGGGTTTGACAGGCGACCAGCTCGGAGGGTGGCACCGTGACGAGGTTGAGGGTGATCTCTCCCAGCGGCGACTGGCTGGCCAATGTCCGGAAGACTGAGATGGTGTTGTAGAAAGACAGGGCGTCCTCCACCTGCTGCTCCGCCCATGGAAGGGTGATCTAAAATAAAGAGACAAATCTTTTGCATTGTGTTGAACCTTAATGTTTCTAATCAGAAAAAATGTGTCTTCACAAGGTATTTGGGTGTTTAGATAGAAGTTACAGCAATGCAGGGATTTTGCACTGTAAAAAAGTTACTTTAAAATTGAATACAGTATTGTGTTTAATTTCATTCTTTCTTTCTTTTTCTTGATGACAATTATTTGTTTGAATCTAGCGTCAAGCAGTGTAGCCAGGTTTGTTTGTTTACCTGAACTATGATCAGTTTGTGAGATGGATCTTCGGCGTTGCTGAGCTCCTCTCCAAAACACAGAGTGAAGCCGCAATGAGGAGGCTCGCCGCCATTGGCTCGGTAATCGTCCAGCTCTGCCGAGACACCAGAAACAAACCAGGTTACGCCGGTGAAGGTTGTCAGTCATCCAGGTCATAGTCATGCCAAAAAAGAACATTTAAAAACAATCCAGACTTTGTTTCCGAGTTTGAAGACGATTTGCTTCCCATCCAGGAATTTTTTTTAATTTAAAATGTCAGGAATAGCGTTGAACTCAATGCCGTTCCTGACATTGAGCTCATTCTCATGAGCCGCCTGAAGCAGCCACACAATATCAATGTCTTTCATGGGGCCCCACATTACTGGTGACTCCCCTGCATATGCATAGTTTTAGGTTCATCCCTTTAGTTTTGTATAACGAATACACTTTAAACTACCTCCCTTTAGTCATGTACAAAAAACTATTTAAGCTTAGTTCGACATAAGCTTAAAAAAAACCCCAAAAAGTAAGTAATTAAATAGTTTTTTTGTACATGACTAGGGATGCATGACCGTTGAGTTAGTTTAAAGTGCATTTTTCATACAAAAATAAAGGGATAAACTAAAGGGCTAAACGGGTATTGACTATGGGTATGCTGGTCTGACAGAACACCAGCTCACACACTGCGTTAGACAGGATTATCCTGACCTCTCAGAATGAGGGGTTTTATTGGAGAAACAGCCCAAGTATGCAACTTCACGTTAAAAAATAAAGCTAAAATACAGCCGCTTGCGAAATTTAACTGCCACTTTAGAAAAAAAAGCTTATTAATTACATGTGATCCCTATGTAAAAACAGATCTGTGAAAATAGGGGATTGGACATTGTGCTGCAGACTCCACAGAAGAGTTGAAGAAAAACAAATCCGCTCCAAAGCCTATTGTCTCAAAAGAATCTGTTTCCCCTTTAAATCTGCAGCTCTCCCTACTTCTCTCTGTGCTCTTGTTTAAAAAGATTTATGAACCTCTTTACTAATATAATGAAGCCAGAAACAAAATGTCAAGATATGTAGAATCTCTGCAGTCTGATTCTATCTGTATAATAATAAAACATGTTAATTTTAACCTGTAACTGGGAGTCATGGTCCTCTGAGAAGCCCAGCTTTTTTTAACTGGTAAAGAAGAACATTTAATATTTTTTTCTCAAGCTTCTTGCGTTATATTACTTACTTGTATAAAATTATAATATGTTGCCGTTTTTGCAGAAAAAGCTCTGTATGTCTAACAAACAGATTTTTCGGTGGCATCTCTAATTTTTTTTAACTTAAACATGAAAGTAGCTGCTGGTTAATATTCAATGAGTGCTGCTGTGTGTCTCTCCCTCAACCACCTAGCTACTCTCTACGCAGTGAAATGCAACGGCTAATCAGATGTCTCAAAGCGACAGATCTGATGATGGTACACCGATAGGCGGGACACTCGAGGAGCGCGACAGAAAAAAAAAACATTGACTCAAAACACTCTGAAAACAGATAGCTGCACCCAACCTCTGTTACCTTTGGCTAAAGAAGATGAGCAGAAAGGGGAAAAAAACAGCAGAAATCATTGGTGAGGACATGTCCACACCAGGTCAGTTTTGGATGGGACATGTCCACACCTGTCCTTCAGAAAGTTACGCCTGTGGCTGGATCTAGGAATGACCGATTTAATGACTTTCCTTCATAGTACCATATTTTCGGGACTATAAGCCACTACTTTTTTCCACGCTTTGAACCATGCAGCTTTTAAGAAGCTGAGCCTTTCAGTGGATTTTTCCTAACCGCCAGAGGGGGAGAATAAAGAGCTAATTTTCATTTTGCACAGAGAACAGATGTCCCGAATTCACACATTTTCACATTTATTTGCCGCATTAAAGTTACCGAACCAATAAAGAGACTGGTCTCAACTCCTGCAGAGCTGAAATAAAGAGCTGACGAAGCCCCATCTTTCAGTAGAAGCTCTTATTGCTGCGAGCTAACTAGCTAATGGGAGCTAGCATTCCTCTTTATCCCTCCTCCAGGGGCTATATTCAGAGCTCCCCCTACAGGTTTGGTGGGAGACAGTTCAGTAGATATCAGCCCAGTGCGACTTATATATTTGTTTCGAGTTTTTTCAAAAGATGTTGTGAGCTTATAGTGAGGTGAGCTCTATAGTCTGGAAAATACGGTAAATGAAGTATGCACTGGTTTCCCCTGGTCCACTCACGCTGCTTGAAGATCTCTTTGCTGAAAAGGAGCACCGGCTCCGTGTTCCGCTCCATGCGGTGAAGGCCCGGGGTGGTAGTGTGCGGCCCCGTCCAAAAGATCCGACCCTGGCAGTACCTCTTGCCGTATACTCCCTGCTGCGTGGATGTCAGCAGGATCCCCTTCTCCATGAAGGGAAGCAGAGTGAAGAGCGCCTGCAGCTCCCCGCCGGCAGGCAGCGTGGACGGCGGCTCCGGCAGAAGGATGCGAGGGAACCTGACGTTCATAGCGGCCGGAGTTGGAGGAATGGAGGAGGAAGGCAGGTACACGATGCGAACATCAGGCCCGTAGATGGAGCGTTTCAGCACTTCCTGACCTATATAATGAACCGCCACGCTGAAGGAGTCCTGGTCTGTTGGAAACAGCAGGAGAGAATTAGAGCTCCAGGCTTAAACCAACATTTCTCTTTTTCAGCTGTGGTTCTGTAAATGATCCTTACCTCCCTGAGTAGCGGGGAGACTCTCCTCAATCCGAACATCCAACCTGATCTCATCCACAGCTGCATAAAGGAAGGGGAGGAGGTAAGAATAAATAAATGAAACGCTTGATGCATGATAAAACAGAATTCTTATATCTTCCCTTTGCAGCTGTTCTCTTTAGCTTTATTTAAAAAAAATACATATAAAAATGCATGGGGGTGGCTGTATCATGCCTTTTGCATGTCAAGCCCTAAATAACCAAGCTCCATCTTATATCAGTGATCTGATTGTTCCTTATGTTCCTAACAGAGCACTTCGCTCTCAATCTGCAGGTTTACTAATCGTTCCTAGAATTTCTAAAAGTAGAATGGGAGGCAGATCTTTTAGTTATTAGGCTCCTCTCCTGTGGAATCAACTACCAGTTTTAGTCCGTGAGGCAGACACCCTTTCCTTTTTTGTTTTTATAAATCCTATAGTTAGAGTCGCTATGCCTCAGGTTATGCCGAGCTATCTCTATAACTATGCTGCTACAAGCTTAGAGTGCTGGAGGACATAGGGACCGCTTTGCCACACATAGACATACATATAAGATGTAGCTTTAACTGCGACCAACTTAATATGCTGTGTTCTCTTTGTTTGTCTGCTTAAAATCATTTTCAGCCATATTAGAGGGCTTGAAAAGTTGATTTTAGGCAACTGGAGACATATCTCATGTATCTGTGAGATTCCTAAGAGATATTTAATTCAATTCAGTTTATTCGTATAGCACCATTTCACACTACGTCATTTCAAGGTACTTTACAGTTCACCAGATCATCCAGTCAAATTATCAGAAGGCCTTTCATCCTCAGCCAGGTTCTGCTGAAGGTTTCTTCTACCAAAGCAGAGTATACCTTCCCACTGTCACTAAATGCATGCTCAGTAAGAGAATTGCTGCAAGTCCCTGACTTTATGCAATCTGATGAAATTATTACAATTCTACCAAAAAGCACCAAAAAATAAAAATGAGAACTTTTCATGTTTCCATCTACAGATTTGAGGTGAACAAACTGAACCTATAGAGCAACAGTTTCCATCTAAAGAACATGAACTATTTTCATCAAAAGTTAAAAACCACTTTAAAAGAGAATGTTTTAAACAATTTAAAGTTTTTTTTTGGTCATCAACCTTTTCTATTGCAATACTTTTAAAATGTATATAAAAAAAAAAACATTGATGGAAACAAAGCTACCATTTAATAACTAGGATCTATGTAAATGTTCTTTCCTGACTCTGGTTGTGTATTTTTTTCGCTGGAGGAAGCCGTCCAGTCTGTTTATGACCGATATATCCATTTTATCTATTAGGAACCACTCATCAAAATGGGTTAAGGCAGACACCAATGGGGCAGGCTAACATTTAGCTTCTGAAACAGAATGCAGAAATGTTTGGTTTCAGTGGCGAGAGTTTGAACAGCTACTTGATTCTGATTCTATACATATACTTCCATTGTTTTATGTGTTAATATGGGTGTTTTTATGAGTGAAAGTGAGAGCACAAGTGTAATAGTGTCTAAATATATGACTAGGAAGAACTGAGATCAGTTTTCAGTGGGTTCATTTCATACATGCCAGGAGGCTGATTATAGAGTAGGAACTCACAGCTGCATTGGGAGGGTCCATCTGACTGGGCCGGCTTGTTGTCCTGCAGCAGATCTTCGTCCACATGCTGCGAATCAGAGAACAAAAGCCTTTTAATTCATCACAACTTTGGAGAGCAGAAGGAAGAAACACTGAAGTCGTCTCATCAGCTCCCCTCACCAGCTGAGAGGTCACCTCTTCTGTTTTGACCCGTTTGTCCTGACTGATGCTGCTGCTGCTACTGCTGTCAGAGTCGCTGCTCTTCCTCTTGTGCTTTTTGCTGTTTTTTTCTTTGCTTTTAGTCTCAGGTGTCAACACACCTAAAGACACAGAGAAATGAAGGCTCAGATTATTTAATTTAACGCTCTGTAGCAGCTATAATCCAGCCAGCAGTCATTCCGTCGAGGGATGGTGCCTGAACATTTAAGTAGGGATGTTATCTGTTTGTTTTTCAGGAGCAAACAAACCGGTTATGGTTTATTTTTAGAAAAGCAGCCAAAGAAAAGCTCTAAGATCGACTAAATATTGACTTTAAAAAAAAAACAATCTGAGTGATTGAATAAAAATCTAAAAGCTGTAAAGAGGGATTTTAAGACTTCTGCCAAAGCAGGAACACCCAAGGCTCTGTTTTATCTGCCTGCACTACATTATTATTAGTTCATCACTCAGGAAGGAAGAAAGGATGCTGGGCAATAAAACACCACTAGGACTAGACAAGCAGAAAGGGATGCAGGGAGAAACATGAGGAAACAAGGACAGAAGGAAAAGGACACTAGGCTTTCACAAAGGAAGAAGAAAAACTAGGCAAATAGAGGAAAAAGGGAACTAGGAAGGAAGGAAGGAAGGAAGGAAGGAAGGAAGGAAGGAAGGAAGGAAGGAAGGAAGGAAGGAAGGAAGGAAGGAAGGAAGGAAGGAAGGAAGGAAGGAAGGAAGGAAGGAAGGAAGGAAGGAAGGAAGGAAGGAAGGAAGGAAGGAAGGAGAAAATTGATGCTACAAGAGATTAAGTAAAAGGAATGTAGGAAGGGAGGAAACAAGGAAGGGTATTAGGAAAGAAAATAGGAAGGAGCATGGAAATTAAGAGGGACAAAGGGACACCAGGAGGAAATTCTCTCTCTTTCCTCCTTCTTATGCAGACCAGGTAAGGCTTTTGAGGCAGAGCTTATTTTCACCGTCTCATACCGGTCTGTTCACCATTGGACCCAAATTAGAATAAACCTCCACTGGATCTCAGAAGGACATCCTGCTCCTCCCTGCATATCTCTACACAAAACTCACCTGTTCAGACTAGCAAACCACACTTAACCTCCAAACACGTCACAACGCAAACAGTCATCAGTATTTTATGTTCGTCTGTTCGTCGTACTTTAAACCTTTGTTCACATTATGTCATTGACATAAAGTGGCTTTCAAAGTCAGAGAGTTAAAAAACGATTATAGTTCCTTTAAAGTCGGAAGGACAATAATTAACAACCAAAAATAAATGATATAAATAGATTGAAGCTTTGATTCTGAGTCAGAAGTGAAGGACGGAATTAGGGCGTTTCTTTACATCGCCATCAGCTGATATGAAAATATACGTGTTCGGTTGCCATAACAAAACCAAAACAAAACAAATACTCTGCCTGAAATCATTAAACAACAGAAATCCTTATTGCCAGCAGGCAAACAGTAAACAAACCAGTTTCACTCGACATACTGTAAAACATTTAATAAGGGAGGGACAGATCTCTAGCATTATATCATGTCATTACTTTAATTAGACTGCTAATGAAATATTTACTGTTCAAAGGTGAAGCTGGAGCAGCTAGAACCTAAACATAGAGTCCAAAGATAAACTCTGGCTTCAGTCCAGGTTAATCGAATCCATTTTAAGAGGCAAAAATGTTTAATAAAGGGACCAAATCTTCACAGCACCTCTCCAGTCCAACATACGAACAAAAAGAAAGAATAAAACAGAAGACGAAGGTGAACAGCAATCGGGATATGGGTTGCTTTCAGTCTAATTCGTTTTTTAAAGCAGGAGTTGAACTCACAACCTTCCAACTGCAAATTCACTGCACGTCAGACAGTTTATAATCTAAGTATCTACTCAACAAAACGTGTTGGAGCCACCATTTTAAAATAAAGTAAAACATAAAACACTCGCATAAAGACGATGGACGCATTTTTCTCAGAAGGGTTTTTGTTGATATTTGTGAAAAAAAGAGACAAATAAAGCACAGAGTTCCCAACATAATGAGAAAAACAGATACAAAATATAAATTATATATACTGGTACTTTAAGAGTCAACCTTTATTTGAATTTAAAAGGAAATGTTTAATTAAAAAAACAGATAAAACCTGAGAAGACTGAGAGATACGGAGAACGTCTCTGTCTGCTAAAGCACGGCAGTGATGTGTAGTTCTACGGGTTTCTGCTGCAGTTTTCAATCAGTTAGCTTTATTAAGTTTATTTTTTCCAGCTTTTCTTGCCATTAAACTGTCACAAGTACAGAGCAACGAAATGAACTCTCTGCATTTAAGCCATCCTCTTTGGGATGGAGTGGGCTGCCATTGTGCGGCGCCCGGAGTTAGCAGTTTAAGGGTGTTGCTCAGAGACCCAGAGTGGCAGTCTGTGGGAGTGGGAGTTGAACTCAGAACCTAAGGATTCCTTTAAGCCCTAACCACTAGGCTGCCAATCCCCTTTAGAGACCTGTAATGAATATATATATCAGATATTGATCATAAACTGGTGAGCGAAAGAAACAAATATATCAGATTACATCAGCCTGCATCTAAAATCAGCAATAAAAACAGGCTGATAAAAGCAATCCCCTCCAGCCATGACGGCTGCTTTGCATAGGAACCATGGGGACGTGTCTCTACTAATGAGACGACGTGACTTGTCAGTGACATGTTTATAATTTACAATACAACATTGTTGCTGCAGTCGCTTCTTTCGCTCTCACAGCTTTGCTGCCTGGCGGCGCCTGCTTCGTCTGACCGCCTGCTTGCCAGGCAGCGCAGTGCTGTTTCCTTGTTTTAAACAGTATTTAAAATCCCAGTTGGAATTGGAAATTAAGTTCAAGGTAATTTTTTATTTTTTTTGGTTGCCGTTTTCTACACTTTAGATCAGAGGTCACGGACCAGGATCCGGATTTGGATCCACATGCTGTCTAATCTGGATCCAACCTGATTTAAAACATTTGCAAATTACTGCATGTCTAATTTGCACTTGCACCACTTCTCCTGTTATTACGGTAAAGCCATCCGCAGCATCCAGAACCAGGCTACACGTGATGTGTGGACTGCTGGAAGAACTGCGGTGAACTGGTGAAAGAAAAGTGAAATGGTGCTCAAAGATGACCCTGAACATTTAGAGGATGTTTGGCTCAACCTGCTGCTGTGAAGCAGGATTCTCCACCATGAACAGAATCAGAAATAAATATGGATCCAGGATCAGAATGAGCTCCTTGATATGTGCTTTAGAATGGCGTAGTCTCCATTCAAACCAGGTTTAAAGCCTTGCAGGGCAGCATAAAGCCCACTGCCAACATTAAGACAGAAAAAAGAAATAAAGAAATAACAAGCGGTCAATTTAGGTGTTTTATTAAAAAAAGGGAATCAGGAAATTGTTTATATACACAATTGAAAGATTGTTGTTCTCTACTTCAAAAACAATTTAGATTTTAAAATGGAAAAACGTTCTATTTTTTATATTCTTCATTTAAAAATGAAATGTCTAACATGGATGCATAAACACCCGCATTTTATTTCAGTGTTAAATTCTGTTTAAATTAACAGATCAGAATTTAAAATGTCTCTGGACATTTAGTGGTTGATGATTTTCTTTATTCGGATCTTGCTGATTTTTAACTGGTTACCCATGCCTTAAATGTTTGATATAAGAAAAATGTTTAAAATGTTAAGATAAATGACATAAAGTGGTACCTACAGCCCTACTGTACATTTATTGACATATTGAAGTTAATATTTTAAATGCTAGTACACTTTTATTTCCAGGGCAGATGTACATAAATGCCACCAATTTATATGTAGTATGTTTTACTGTGCCATTTTGTGATATTGAGAGAGTTTGTTAGGTTAAAAAAGTTGGTGTTTACCTCTGTGTGTTTCTATAGCTTTAAAAGAAAGTACAGGATAAATCCACGGACATATTTTGACTGTATTTGGTTAAATAAGCATGTATTTAGCATCTGTCTGTCGCTGTAAGTTCAAATGCAAACCTTTTCCAAGTGGAATAAAGACCAGATTCGACATTCAGAGGCTTTAAGCATTGGCCAACAGCATCTAGTCTGTGTAACTCTATACATTTTTTATAAATGAAGCAAGAAATGCTGATTTCTCTTTAGACCAGAGGAAATTCAGCCTAAAGCTGAGTTAAGCATCTAATCCATGTAGGATGTGTGATGTGAGACCAATGAAGCTTAGGACCAACAGTGTCCCGATCAAAGCTGAAATCAAAGTATTATTAAAATACTTTACAGTATTTTGTTGTTTTATTGTTTATCTTTTAACTATTATGTTATTCTTATACATTTTTCTAAGGTCCATATTTGTGTGACCATTTTTTTCTATAATCTTTTTGCTGCTGTAAACAGCAGTTTCCCCATTCTGGCACAATAAATTGATTTTCTATTTTCTATTCTATATTTTATGTAAAAGCATAAAGTGTATGTAAGTCATTGGCTGATAATAAATGGGTCAGTTGTTCTCATAGTTTTGTTGACTTTTCTTCTCTGTTTGAATAATAACAGTTGATTAAGCTCCTTTTTTTTTAACATTTCCACTAAAGTATCCGTAATAAAAGTCTGATGATTAATGCTGATATTGGATCACATCCACTGCGGTATCAATCAGAACTCAGAGCTGTAATATCAGTATCGTATTGGAAATTAAAGTTTGCTTTTAGAAATGACGTCGCTTTTCAAGCACAGCCGTGTTAATTTCGGTTCTACACTGAGATGTTGGCTTTTATTCTGTTATCGTTTCAACTATTTTATTATATTGTAATTAAGTCTGAAACAATTAATTGTATTAGTTGTGATAAATCAATTACTGAAATAATTATCTACTAATTAAATAATCGATTAGTCGTTAAACATGAGTATAGAGACTCTGAAACATGCATTTAGCTGACAGATCAACTCACTAAGAGCAGTTATAACAAAATTGAAAAAAAAAAAGTTAAAATTTTGCATTTAAGATAAAAAAAAAATATTTTGTGTTTGTCAAAATGTTTCTCAAGTGGAAAAGTTTTGGTTTCCACAGGTTAAATTTCGTAAAAAAGTCTATTCAGGAACCTTTGGCCATCCGATAATTAATCGATTAATAAAAAAATATAATGGACAGATTACATTATTTGCTAAATAATGGTTAGTTGCAGCCCCAGTTGTAATATTGGGTCATAGATTTGTTGAATTTATGTTTGCTAGAGCTGCTGCGTGTATTTGGGGGGTTTATCGTCTGTTATCATGGTTCAACACTTTGCTCGATGACGGTGTTTTCTAAGTGCTTCATAAATAAGGTTGCATTGTGTCGTACTCAGCCCTGTGGTTCTGAAGCGTTCTATTATTCCTCTGGCTGCTGAAAGTTTCGGCCAGTGGTGATTAATGCTCACATGCATGGCTTGAATATGTTCTCTAATTTTTCCCATTTTGATAAAACAAAAACAGGAAGTCAGCTGGAAATATAAATGTTCTGCACTCTAAGATGAAATGCATCAGTTACATTTTCTCCTTCTGATGATACATTTTAAAATCAGTCACTTAAAAGTATTTTCTGTCCATAGTGGCTTTTAGTTGCCTAAACAGAAACACCACTTTATCCGCCAACAAAGCGTAGTGAAAACCTCAGAGCAACCCGCTGCCTTCCTATGGCTGCACTAAAGAAAGACCTCCCATCTGCTGGGCGGCAGCCTGAATGTGTGTTAAAGTTCAGCAGTCGGTCGTAAAGAAGGGGGCAGCTCCAGTTCAGAGCGAACAAACACCTTCCTTTTACTGAATTAGCTGAGGATGATGTCAGATATAAATAATGATTCATCTGATTAACTTTTTCAGCTCCAACATCAAAGATAAAACTATATTTCAGCTCATTGCACAGTAATAAAAGACAAAAGAGGAAGCTGCAGGGAGTCAACTAGAGGTAGAAATTAAATCCTAATGTATCAGCTGAAGGTGAACTTAGTTGAAGGGAGATTTACAAAATAAAGATCCCTGATATTCTGGACTTTCAGTTTCAGAAACGTCAATATTAATCAGGAATCTTGGCTCCAAATCGAGTCAAACCAGAGTTAAGCCTATGTGAGTATAGAAGAAGCTGAAGGGGACAACCAAGCAAACTCCCCTCAACTTTTAGAGAAATTAAAAAATAAAACAGTCCCATGTCAAGAATCAGGATTAAGGTCATGAAAGCACAGTTAGAAACAGACAGACCTAGTATGACTTCCTGCTGGCAGTAGATGGTGGCCCCTCACCCAAAGCATTGTGTTTGAAGAAAAAAACAAAGCATCGGCAGCAGAAACAGCTCATAGCAACAGTTAGGAACGGCGGTGGAGGAGTGATGGTACGGGCTGACCCGTCACTCCTCTGCTTACAAAAGAATTCCAGTGAAAAAAGGGAGACCATCTAGGGGACATCTTAGTCTTCTTCTTCAAAGAGTGAAGAAGAAGAAACTGATCAAGTCAGACAGATAACAGCCGCTAAAAAGTCCTCCATTTAGACGATTTATCACCAGGGTATCATTTTCTACTCAAGGTGATGAGGTTTTTTTCTTTCACTCTAAGTAAATGATTAAGGATCCAGCTCTCACCCTGCTCGCTGATGGGGACCAGGCGGTACACCTTATACGGCTCTGAGATGTCCAGCTGGGCTCGCTCCATCACCTCCTTGAACTCTGGGCTTTTGTTGAGAGCACAGCGCAGCCGGGTTTTCCACGCGGCGGGGTTGTTCTCTCCCTTTGGCAGCTTCCCTTTGAACTCAGCCCAGGCCTATGGATGGATGGATGGATGGATGGATGGATGGATGGATGGATGGATGGATGGATGGATGGATGGATGGATGGATGGATGGATGGAAAGTGTAGTTAGTTGAGCAGTCAAAGTTTAGCTTAATAAATAGCTAATTACTAGATTAATAATAAAATAATAAAACAACTGCAGGCAGCCTGCAGTGGTTTTAAACGTTCCTCTCAGATCTGAGCAGATTCTAAAGTGCCGCAGGGCAACATTGGTATTAAATCAGAAATATATCATTTAACTCTAGTGTATACCATGGCTCTGTGAAACCCTCTTTCCAGCTGTTTTCCTAACTGTTAGAAAGCTTCCCTGACCTTGAACAGAGCGGCGTCCTCGTCCTGACGGAAGTCGTGTTTCCCTGCGTGCTTCCAGGGAATGCGGAACATGGTTTTAGCGTCGTCGTCCCACATTACGCCCGGATATTTCCCGCTGCTGACCTGAGGGAGAAGACAAAAGAGGAAAATTAGTTTCCAGTAGAGGAAACCTACTCAGCAAATGCCTGGTGTCTCTTCTGCTCAGAATAATACAACTAAAGCATTGCTGTCCTCCTCCATGTCTCCTCAACGGCTTCCGTTCCCTCAGATCTACTGTTTATAGTGATTAAGGCAGGTAGTGGCATGTTGGTGTTTTCCTACTCCTCCGTCTGACACTAATGTGCCTCGATAAACAAAATGCGGGGAGCCGTCAAAACAAACAGCTGGAACAGTTTGGCAGCCAAACCTGTTAATTCTCCAGCAGGGCTGAGCTGCAGCAGACTCAGATTAGTCCATTTTCTGCTTTCCAAGAATAGGATTAATGTCTTTTTAGGATTATCATAGGATGTATTGTTTGAGAAACTTCACTATGGCCCAAGTTTTAATTGCCTTCACCAATCTGCAAACCCTCACGGGGTCAATTCAACTTCAAAACATCGAATATGAATTGAAAAGCTTCCTGGACGGGAAGCGAAACGTCTTCAAACTTGGAAACAAAGTTGAGTGGATTGTTTTTAATTTTCTTTTTTGGAATCACAAAATGCATACATTTGCAGAGATGATCTCCAAATTTAACAACCTACAGCACAGATCTAGACTGACGCAGTCAGCAGCTCCTACAGATCCACTGACCCACATATGGATGGATTTTATATCTAAAATGCAGCATATCCATATTTTTCCGAATCAATGCAATTAAAATTGTACTTCTATGCATGATTTATTAATTTTGGCATCAGAATTTTTGGGCCCTATATATATATATATATATATATATATATATATATATATATATATATATATATATATATATATATATAACTATCTATAAATATAAATATTATCTTATTATGGTTCTATTATTTTCTCATTAATAGAAAAGCATTCAATAAATGTATTTGAGCTCATTTTTGCAAAATATATAAACCTAATAAAATCATTTGGGTGGAGTAACTGTAGGTCCTTCGGCCCCCACCCTTAGAGCGCCCCCACCAACTGTCATTACTAAGTTACATCCTTGTTTATAAATATATCAACATTAGAGCAGAGAGGCAGGTTGGTGAATATGATAAAAGCTAGTCTGTTTCGCGACTATCAGCCTCACAAATTCTTCTCACTTGGCAGCAAAAACGACACTTCCGGTGCTCGTATTTATGGCCTGAAAAACAAGCACAGATAAGGGGACCCTTCCCCTCCCGCCCCCCAGTAAATTCCCACTTTAACGCACCTGCTCGACTATCCAGGAGCGAAGCCTGCGGGTGGACCTCATCCTTCCTGCTGCCATGACCTCCTTTAATAAAACGACTGAAATATGGAAACAAAGTCAAAAAAACATGTAAAACAACACAATTTAAGGCATATCCTATTTCTATAAAAGATTTAAAAAAGATAAAATTGAAAAATATAAGAAATTACCTTTCTTAGTAAGTAACTGCTTTTTTTCTCCTTTTTTTAAGTCTAACCATTAAATAAACAGATAAAGGTTTTAGAAGAATAAAATATCAGAAGCAGCCCTCCTTAGCGGTTCAGATAAGTTTATAAAGGAGTCAGAAATAGGTTGTAACGTGTGAAATGAGGGAAGTAGGTTTAAGTTTCGTTTACCTTGTTTTCTCAGCGGCTGCCTGCAGACTGGCTGATCTACGGAGGAGCGCCGCTCTCAGCTCAGCTGCCCGTTTCCCAGAAATCACGTGACTTCCAGAAACACGCTGCGTCCTGAACGCCAGGGGGCGACAGCGAGCACAGAGGGAAAACCCCTTACTTTACAGAATATAAGCTAAAACACCCTGTTAACCTCAATATTAATACCCTTAATGTTACACTAACATTTTTCTGAGACTTGGTTTTAGTATGTATAACATATTTATGCAAATAGCCTTTTTCTGACTCCAGAGATAATTCTTCTTCTTTGCAAATTTCTCTGACTTCTTGTCATTCTCAATAAAAAAGAATTTACTGTCAGAAAATATCAACCTTTATGCTTTAAAATGTTTTTTTTTTTTTTTTTTTTTTTTTTTTTTTTTTTTTTTGTAGTTTGATGTAATATTGATATCTGAAATCTCACAAGCTGAAAGCAGAAAATCACAATTTAAAAAATTACAGGCTTAAAAGTCTTAGGTGTCACTTAGAGAATAGTGTTTTTGGAAAAAAAAACAACATAATATTCCTATTTATTTAAAATGAGGATACTTCTGGAACACATATCTCTCATCTTGCCCATAGTTAGTTTTTTTAACTGGTTTAAGCCTCAGATCTTTGTTAAAAGTTGCAAGCAGCACTAACATAACTAGGCCAATGCTATAACATAAAGCTTTTAGTTAGTTTTATTAACAAGCTATGCTATAGTAATACCATGTCTACACAGTAATGGTACTTTTAAAACACTTATTCTAAGATTATTGTTTTTATGTGAAGACAACTTGTGATCGACCTAAACAGTGAATTTCTTTCACTTAGGTCTATGTATTGAAATTTCAAGTACTTATGCGACCAACATACATGCAATGCATGCTTCCAAAAGCTCTTTGTACTTTACAAAAACATAAAATGTATACAGAGAAGTTTCAGTGATGACATTTCCTCCTCTTAACTTCTCTCTGACCTTTAACATAAACCCTGACTGATTGTTCTCATCTGGTCAAGTTTGCCTTCTTTTTTTTTTTGGTTTCTATATTTTCAGAATTAAAAGTATTGCAATTATGTTTGATGTACTTCACTGAATCACAAATATCACAAACAGAACTCAGATATGTCATTTAAAGAAGCGATGTTCCAGCATGTTTTTCTTTGCAGTAAGATTAGTGATGCTCTGATGTAACACAATAGAAAAAGTAACAAAAAAAACTCATGTTTTCTAAGATATCTCACAGCCAAATCGTTAAAATACCTAATTTATATTTTAAATGACAAATTCAAAAGTGAAAGAAAATTTGTTTTAAACTGACATTTTTAAATAAGATTTAAACAGATTTGTCATTTTGTGTGAACAAAACAAAAGTTTGATGCATCCAGCTTTCAACTGTGGATGAGCAGCTTAGTAGTAAAATGAACATTTCCATTTATAAAGGGCAGATAATAGAATGTAAACAGTGGAGGATAAAAGGAAAACTAGTTTAAAGTCATGGTGCTAAAGGCATTGATATGGAAAGGTTCAGTTCTGTGCAAATAAACAAATATGGTGCAAAATAAAGTAGAACATTGAGTTGTGCTCTATTAAAAGGGATTGTGAAAAAAAACAGCCATGTTGATAGTACAAATGAGTTTTCAAGTGTGATGCAGAGTCTTGATTTAAAGTTTAACAGTTCAGCAGGGGAGGAAAGCTGTTGCAGAACCTGCTGGACCTGCATTGAATGCTGTGAAGCTTCTTCCCAGAGGGCAGCAGGGTTAACAGTCCGTGATGGGGGTGTGAGTGGTCACTGGTGATGTTAGGGGCTCAGGACATGCAGAACTGGGGTGAAATGGCTTTAAGAAGCATGTACCTCCTTATATGACAATCAATGTCTCTGGGGATGATGTCACCTCGCTGGGGGGAAGAAGCCTGTGCCTGTGTGGATAGGAGGATGATACCAATTAGAAATAGATGGGCTCACCTCCATGCACAGCCTAGGCTCTGTAACCCAGATCCTCGTGAAAGGCTGGATCTCTTCTACTCTGGAGCGACCACTGATCTCTATTTATTCACTAAATTGCTATTTGCCCAAAAAGAGTGAAGCCACCGTCCACCATTCTTGTACTCCCCACTCCCACAGAGACATGCAATAAAAATGCCTTCATGTGTAGCATTTGGCTGCAAAAACAAGCAGTTCGCTGTCTGTGTGAAGACATTCCACAGTTAATTGCAGTCAGCGTCAGTGTGTGCATATATACTTGCATGTACAGTTTTTTCAAATGATCAGATTCTTGTTGTAACTAAGAGCAAAAAGCAAAATATGAACTTGATGTCGCCTGTTATTTTACCAATTGATGTTATTTTGCTGGTGTAGAAACTAAAGCTCTGTGGAGTTATTAAATTGGTTAATTAATTTAGCTCTACTGTAAATCTGTCAGATGTAAAGGCTAATGCACAGATATAATATATAAAAGTATATGGCATCATGCATGCACAATTTACAAATAGAAAAATACTGTAGCATTAACAGACATGTACTTTTTATTCAGTCTTTATGAAAAAAATCTTGTAATAAATACATGTAAATCATCAATTTAGCACTTCAGCACATCTGTATTATTATGCTCTATTAACACATTCATTTTATTGTGATTCATTTGTATAATATGTTATATTACATGATTCATAGACTTCATGCTGACTATGCAATGTTATGTGCCTATTTTTTATAATATAAGTTAAACTGATCTACCGATGCTATGAAACAAAAAGTGTGTGTTAAATTGATGAATTTATCTTTAATTTAAAAGTATTAAGTCCCCCTGAAAATGAGAACATCATTGTTGTTCCATGCTGTATCGCACGGATTGTTTACATTGCAACCGGTCTAACTAGGGAGTACAAATATGGTGGCCGGTGGCTTCACTTCAACCCCTTACTACCAACGGACAATCAGCAATCCAGTGAATAGATAGAGCTCAGTGGGAGCGACCCACAGGTAGAGGCAGTAGGGCTGCTTGTCTCTCCTATCAGTGGACGTTTCCATAATGAACACCATGTTAAAATGCCAGGGTGCTCATCACTGCACTATAACGGTGCATGGAGGTCAATGGTTGATTTTATAGTCATATCTTCTGACCTTCAGCTGGATGTCTTGGGCACTTGGGTGAAGACAGAGAGGGGAGAAGGCTGTCCACCAATCACCATCGGATAGTGAGATAATGAGGTGGGAGTGAAGGAAGCCCTACTTTTTCTGTTTCCTGCTCCTCCAGATTAGTTGTGTTCTGGGTTAACTTCCGTTACTACAAACTAAAGCTACAAACTCACTGAGAATTTGTAGTGTATACTAGAACAGATGTCCCATTCATACAGATTGTTCCTCTCAGTTTTCTTCCTACAGGATTTCAGCGTGTGATTCATGTTTTACTGGATATAAAAGGCCTGAAATGCCCCTCCACCCACCTGCTGTGATTAACGAGCCACTTTGGCCTAAAGGTCTTGATGATTCAGCAAATTGGAATTTCAGCAGCAATCATCTTAGTAGACTCTTCCTTCATGCAAACCCATTAATGTAAAGATTTTTTCTTTTTTCCTTATAAACCATTGTTAAAACAGTCAGAGGATATTGACCTGCCGATTCAACAGCATTATAGCTCACAGCTTCACATGTGCTGATTAGAAGAGACTTAAATGATTTTAGCTGATCAACCTCTCCATTATTTCAGCATGCATCTGATATATACACAATAATCTGAAATAATTTAGTTACGTATAAAAAATATCTTTGTGTTTCTGGAAAAACTACTAAAAAAAACAAAAAAATCTGCTTTTAACTCCTGGAAAGCTTTGTCTGGATTATTTAGTTTGTTTTTCACACAGCAGGAGAATACCAAAAACATTTAACAGCTGCTGACAATAAGTGATGCTTCATCTTGCAGAAATGCAGGGGGTGGAGAAGTTGTTTGGTTAAGACTGTTCTGCGGTCTGGCTGAACAACAGCGTCTAACTATAATATCAATAAAATCTGAAATACACAACGTGATTAAATCTTGATTCATTGTAGGCCTTGAGAAAAGTATGAAATATTACCCTTTTAGAACAGTATAATCACTAACCTTAATGTACGGGATTTGAGGTGATATCTAAACACAAATTAGCATAATTGTGAAGCAAAAAGAAATTTGAATATTTAACATTAATTCCCAACTAAATAAAACTCAATGCAACTAACAGACATCACCATGAGTGTAGTTTAATCTCAGGTTTTCTTCAGAGAACATCACATCATTAAGACCAAGACAGGTCAGGGAGAAAAAGTTATAGATCGGGTGACCAGATTTACAAAAAATGCCGGACAGACGTGGCTTTTGCAGCTATGTGTTGCTTATATGACTCACTTTAAGTGTTGCTTTACGTCATGCTACACTTGTATCAAATGTAAACCAACTTTGGCAAACCTAAGAAAAAGCTCTCCCAGTTATAAAGCATTCCAAAGTCTTTACTGTTGCTGCACTTTATTTCCTTTAGCTGGAAAACTTCCACCAGTAGACCCTGCTATGGGTCTTCAAGCCAAAGTCACTGCCCCAAACCACCAGACATCAGAGGGCGTGTCATCCCGACAGCTCCACAGCATCCTCACCACAACTATTAGTCACGCACTCCACAAAATATGGCTTTTATTAAAGAGCGGATACATGAAAGGCTCTGTTATGCAAAGCCAGGGGATGTTAGTTTGATAAAAGCCCGATAAGAAACACTGTAAATGTATAAGAATGTGTTCTGAGTAGGTGACACACATTTAAACCCAGCAGTGGCAGCATCCACTCCTCTTCAGTACCCACAGGAAACAGGTAGCAGGGGCGGGCAATTCCAGTTCCTGTAGGCCCGTATCCTGCAAGCTTTACATGTGTCCTTTGCCCACACACGTGAATCAAGATAATTCACA